CCGTATGACAGTGTGTTCTTTGATAAACTACATTACGGTGGCATAAATAAAGATGATCCTCAGGCAGACTACTCGATCCAGGGTTCAGTTCCTCAAGGTCTTAGCTTTGAATTTTGCATTCTCTGTATCAGTGATAATTGAAAATATTTCTTTGAGATTTCTGGCAGTTGTTTCAACCATTACTGCTGGGATTATGAAGCTGTTTTTCACATCAGTTTTTGCTTAATTTATGACATTGAAGAGAGAAGCTCGACTTAATTATATTACCCTTTCCTTTTATTACTGGGGTCATCATTACCAGCCAAGATAAATTGATTTTCCATTTTGGGTTTTATCATGAGCGTCTCATCCCCAGCAGCAAAAATTACACGGATATCTTTCTGTACATAGATCCTACAGTTGATTTGTTTATACTTCCTATAAAGATCATTATAGAAGAAAATGTGATCAGTATCACATTTGTCTTTACCTGAGATGATATCAAGATCAGTTAGTGTCTCCTATTCAATTCAACACTAGCATATCTTAAGAAATTGACCAACTTTTTGGTCATACCCACATCACACTTGAATCCCCATGGAGTTTTGTTCTCAAATGGTCTTGTGACATTATACAAAAGTTTTAAACACTATGCAAAGAAGTTTCTTGACCGGCAATCCAAGCAGAAGCCACATGAGATGATGAATGTGTTGTCAAATGTTTTATGAACCAGTGATTATGGTGTTGAACCAGTGTTGCAATCATATGGTTTCCATTTATTGACCCAAGATGAATTTTGTCTTCTTCAACTTCAAGATTAAAAGTGAGATATAATGAAGACTTCTTTCCACAGAAGGAGAGCTGAAAATTTTGACAACAAGAAACTAGTGGAGCCAACTAAGGTTGAACGACAAGTTGTTGTTAAGCATCTCGACATGATATGGTCCAAGTTGCCTTATTCGAGATCTGATTATATGTGGAGACATGAAAGGAATTGGAATAAATCTTCCTTGTGATATGTTTCAAGAGTCAAATTAGAACAGGCTCTACTCTCCTAATTAATCCCTGCTGAGTCAGGCATATCTACATCTACACTCTTCAAAGATGATAGATTCTCTTTTAAAGATGATAGATTCTCTTTTCAAAGATGAAAGCTTTATGGGATTTCTACACAAGTCCAAGCAAATAAAGTTGGTTTTATCCAAGACAAAATGGGGCATCAGGGTCATAATTTTGACTACGACAAGAGTTCCACAAATGAAACATTTCTTCTAAGACTTAAATGAAGCAAAGAAGGCACCACGATACAAGTTGATCAGATGATTCTGCAGATATGCAAGCTTGATAGCATAAGTTGCTACACTAATATCCAGAGGTAACCCTGGCAATACATGATGAAGTGAAGGAAGACCAAGTTCACCAATTTGAAGTCAAATGAAGATTGCATCAACATTCATGCATTCATAAGAACATCATTTGCACAATAGACAATGCATTACATTGATACATTTGAGTGCATTCAAACATGAAGTTTTACAAATCTTCGGAATAACAAGAAGATTCATGGTAAGAAATACCTTACAAAAAGAAGGTATTCAAAACCGTAAATACAGGAATCATGCAAACATTTGAAAAAGAGATGGACGCAACGCCACAAAAATGAGCATTATCTTGAGATTGGGGCATGTTACCCAATCAACATGTTATTTTGAAAAATAATGAGAAAACGATTTCCATAGTTTCTCATTCAATCTTTTCTTAAAATGAAATTGTTGAATAGTAAGAAAACAATTTCCATAGTTTCTTACTTAGTAAACTATTTCTCACATCTGTAAGTCCTTCAGTGCATAATGTTTCCAAAAAGCCTTCGGGAGCTTTTTGATGTTTTCAAAACCTTCGGGTCATCTGTAAGCCCTTCAGTGCATGATGTTTCCAAAAAGCCTTCGGGAGCTTTTTGATGTTTTCAAAACCTTCGGGTCATCTGTAAGCCCTTCAGTGCATGATGTTTCCAAAAAGCCTTCGGGAGCTTTTTGATGTTTTCAAATCCTTCGGGTCATCTGTAAGCCCTTCAGTGCATGATGTTTCCAAAAAGCCTTCGGGAGCTTTTTGATGTTGTCAAAGCCTTCGGGTCATCTGTAAGCCCTTCAGTGCATGATGTTTCCAAAAAGCCTTCGGGAGCTTTTTGATGTTTTCAAATCCTTCAGGTCATCTGTAAGTCCTTCAGTGCATGATGTTTCCAAAAAGCCTTCGGGAGCTTTTTGATGTTTTCAAAACCTTCGGGTCATCTGTAAGTCCTTCAGTGCATGATGTTTCCAAAAGCCTTCGGGAGCTTTTTGATGTTTTCAAAACCTTCGGGTCATCTGTAAGCCTTCAGTGCATGATGTTTCCAAAAAGCCTTCGGGAGTTTTTTGATGTTTTCAAAGCCTTTGGGTCATCTGTAAGCCCTTCAGTGCATGATGTTTCCAAAAAGCCTTCGGGAGCTTTTTGATGTTTTCAAAGCCTTCGGGTCATCTGTAAGCCCTACAGTGCATGATGTTTCCAAAAAGCCTTCGGGAGCTTTTTGATGTTTTCAAACCCTTAGGGTCATTCATAAGACCTCTAGGCAGAATGTTTTCAACATTTCCATATTACTCAAAATAAGCTAAATGAAAAAATTATTGTCTTTTTCGTCTTTGCTCTATTCTTGTTAACACAAGAATGAGCAAAGAGGGGCAGCTGTAGAAATCAATTTTTTCATTTTAAATTATTATTATTAAAATTATTATTATTATTATTATTATTAATAGTAATATTATTTATTATTTAAATATTACAAAGCCCAAATCACAACCCAATTACATTCAAATCCCAAACCCAAATGGAAACCCTGAATCAATTTGGGGTTTCAGCTAGGGTTTTCAAACCCTAGCCCCCAGCCGCCGTCAACATCATCAGCCGTTGGATCTGGCAAGATCCAACGGCCCAAAAGGGTTCCAGATGGAAAACCCTAGGGTTTCTAACCCTAACAGTCAGCCGTTTCCAGATGCGGCGCCACCCCTGAAGCCACCCCGACGACCGACTCTCTGATGCTAGATGGTCCAACCAGTTGCTGCCGACGCTGCTGCTTCCACGACGCCGACCTCGTCGAGCTTTCCAGAAGCCAACTGCCTCACCAAATCAGTGCTCTATGGTGAGTCACCGCCATAGCTTGGTGACTCACCAAAGATGCTAAATCGGACCGGTCCGAGGAGTACACTGTGGTGGCTATAAAAGCCACCACTGAACCTGCAAAAAAAAAGGAAGAGAGCAAGGACAGAGAGCAACGGAGAACACGAGAGAAACGAGAGATCCAGCAAAGAAAAAGAAAAAAAAAGGGAAGACAGAAAGCTACCAACGAACCCACAACCAACATAAAACCAAAACAGAAAGCAAAGAAAGAAGAAAGAAACTTACCCTTGGAGCCTTGACCACCGTCGGAAGCACTAAACATCGCCGGAGAACAGAAAATACCGAAGGTATTTTCGTAGATTTACTCCGATTAGGAGTCTTTTAGGGAAAACAAAGACCGGAATCGGTCTTAGGGCGTTTAGATCTACGCTTTGGGGTGTTTTTGGTGAATTCGACCACCGTTACGGTGGCCGGCGGCGGTGGTCGGCGGCGGAGTACGGTGGCCTATGGCTGCCGGTTTCCCTCCGGCGAGGGAAACTAGAGAGAAACCAGAGAGAACTCTGGTTCTCTCATTTTGAGAGAGAATGGAAATAGGCAAATGAGAAGCTTGGCCCTTCGGGCCAGGCGTTTAGGGTATTTAAAACCCTCCCCAAACGACGTCGTTCTGGGGAGGGTATCTGTGTAATTTCCATCATGGGTAAACTCTTTCCGCAGTCACTCCGAGTTTATAACATTACAAATTAGTCACTGGAAGCAAATTTTGATTCTTTTAATTATGTCATTCAATTTTATTTTATTACATTTTAGTCATTATCAGTTTATATATATATTTAGGGTAAATAACTGATTTAGTACCTTATAATTTTATTAACATTTATTTTAATCCGATTAATTAAATAAGGCTAAATTACATTTTTAGCATTTAAAGTTTTTATTTATTCGAGATAGAGCCTTTAAACTTTGATAAATTTTATTTTAATCAATGATTAATTAATTAAGGATTAATTACACTATTAGTAGTTTTATTTTATGATGATTCAAGTTATGTTCATTATTTTAAATAATTTTACATTATTATTATTTATTTATTTATAGTCATTGTTTAGTTATTTTTTTACTTAATTTTTATTATTTTAATATATTTTAAATCATTACTTTAATTATTGTTTTACTATATTATAAATATATATATTATTTATTTAATAATGTTTATTTATTTTCCATATTAAAGAAAAGGGCAGTCTTAATACAACTGGATGTCCTATTTTGGTATTTTAAAACTAATTATTATAAAAATTATAATTTAGTTTTATTACGTTTTTATTTATTAATATAGAAGGAAAGAGCTGTCTTAAGGTACCTAGAAACTCTTTTTTGATATTTCTAAATAAATAAATATCTTATTTTATATATTAATATATTTTCTTAAAATTATAAATTTGAAATAAAAAGATTATGAATTAAATATATTCAAAAAATTTTCTTCTAATAATAGAGACAATTTATAGTTAATAAAGTACCAATTTTGGGCGTTGTAGGGGTGTTAATCCTTCCCTAAACGTAACCGACCACGAATCCCTTTTTATTAATAAAAAGAATGAATTTTTGGTTAAACGCAGATCAGTTTATCTTTTAACTGATGTTTTCTTAAAAACTCTTTTAAAAGAGATTTTTAGGTATTCGACCTACCTGACTCAAAAGGCCGATGACGACTCCCAAATTATTTTAAAAACATTTATTCACATTACTTTTCCCATAAAGTTAATATTTTCGTGCCCTGACGAAAACCGGTTACGACACACCCTGTACTCATCACGTTATTCCCCTTTTAAAAAAAAGCTCGAGTAAAACTAACAAATGAGAAACCCCAAAAGTAAAAAGTAAAAAATCCGCACAATACAAGCAAATTGTCCAAAGGAAACTATCCAAAAGCAATGTTTTTTCTTTTTCACTCTGTATAAATATATATTGGCAATCGCACCATTTCTATCTTTTGCTGGTGAAATTCTCCACTAACATCAGTCATCTTGGGGGAGATATGGTGACTGACAGTGCTGAATATGTTTAATGAAACTATTTCTGTTTGAAAAATAACTAAAAATAACTGATACACTGATACTTTTGCAGTCCAATTGCTGCACGTGAAACCTTTTTTGCCAATGTGGGGAGTGGTGTTTTTACTAAATGATGGTGCCGACGTAGCCGATCCCGGTGATGAAGAATGTGATGGTTTGCAGGAAGAGGTATACGAAGTAGTTGTTCTTCCCGTGGACGAAATCGTAGCATCCGCAAAGGAAAAGGAATGCCGAGAATCCCAGCTCGAACGTATTCAGTCTGTCGATCCGACACCAACTTAAAGTTATATACGGATGGTTCGAAAGAGCTATAGCAATTGGAGTTTAGATAATATGTTGTTTACCTGTCAGTGAACTTGAATCTAAACTTTCTGAATGATTTGGTATTGTTCTTGTTCTTAGCAGCATCGGCTGCTGCTTTCTTGACAGCATCTCCAAGTTTCTCAGTAACAACCCATTCATTGGCTCTACCTGCCTCGAGGAGACCAATAAATGTCGCCTTAGTCCGGTGCAACGACATCACGTTCTCGAACAGAATCCAGTAAAACAATAGGTGGATCGATCTGCGAAAAATTCCCGGAAAATTTATATGCATAAGGAAGATAAAACACCGGAGGAACAATGTAGGCTAATGCGGCCATCGATGTACCTCGGAGTTCCGACAGAGTTTAGAATGGTGATGACTGAAGGAATATAAACGGCTCCCCAAATAGGGACTTTAACTTCAGGGACCAAAATGGTAAGGGGAAGAACAACACAGTAAAAGCAAAAGGTGACCATATGAGCAATGATCTTTCGTACGAAGAAGAAGCTGTAGATAACATATACTTTCTTCCAGAATTTGACTTTCTGCAAACACGTTTTTCGAATCGAATCGATTAACAGAGTTAAGAATTAATATTGTAAAAGAAGTGAAGTTTCTAAGATAATTTGCAGTAAATGTACCTTATTCTGAATGATTTCCCACACCATTTTCCTGAACAGATTAGCAGGGCCACAAGACCATCGATGCTGCTGGAATCGAAACGCCTTGAAAGTACTAGGAAGTTCGCTTTTCACCTGAAGATCACCGAGGTAAACGAATTTCCAACCCCGGAGACTAGCTCGGACCGCGAGGTCCATGTCCTCCACGGTGGTCCGATCCTTCCACCCACCGGCCTCGTTGATGGCGGCAATTCTCCAAATACCGGCAGTCCCTGCATTTGGTTCATGCATACATTTTGAAGTGATTAATTAATGTAAATTTTTATCCTCAAGCAGCCATTGGCAGAATCAAATCAACACTCTAATCCGTATGAATGGATGGGACAACATTGCAGTTCAACAACAATTCTTCGACATGTTAACTGAAAACAGTCCTGAGTTTGTCTAAGTCAATGCTAGAAAATTTCTCCACCAACTACACCGTGTATTTTTAATGCATGGCAGTCTCCATCACTAGGTAAACTTCTGATTTTAAAAAGAAAATCAATAAAATAACAGATGAAATGTAGTTGGTCTAACTAAAATTTAAAAGCTCCATTGTCATACATACATACATGTACTTATATATGACGAAAAAGTGTATTTTCTTCGTTTACCATTAAAACCAAAGAAAGCATGTGTTGCTGATCCAACTTCTTGCTCCACTGTGAAATGGTAATCCAACGACATCTCTTGCATTCTCGTTAACAAACATTCATCCGAGTTCACTGAAAAAAAAACAAATATTTTCATATTCATATTTAAATATGTACAGATCGATACTAATATTTATTATCTATCATTTAAATACAATTAAAATAAATAATTACGGTAAGATTATCCTCAAACCTTATGCTTATGATCAAGGCATCTTAGGCAGCTAATTGAACTAGTAAGATAGAGGGTACAAACAAAAGAAGCCGTTCGGACTTTTTTGTCCTCATCCTGTTCAAATTATAATGCGACACGTCACACAACAACACGAGGGAGCATCTAAAATCTGTGCAACTCTGGCTCTCACATATTTTATAATAATTATATTAATTCCTTGCATTCTATCACAAAATTCTACTATTATTTTTAAGAAAAATATTGACTAAAAATATCCAAAGTCTCGGCAAAATCGAGTCTGATATAGTCCTGCCACATCATAACTTTACCCTGGGACCCAATTTTTTACATGAAAAAGTTAAAACGGCACGTTGAAAGTGGTTTCGAAATGGCGATTTTAACCTGCAAGCCACTAGGGGACAATCTGGGCGTTGATTAAAAGAGAGCCATATCCCACCGTTTTTGTTCTTTTATTCGGTAATGACAAAACCGCCCTCGGATGTCACATGTAATCGAATTTATTTTGTACATAATTTAAATGAAAAAAATCTTACTAATCAGGCCGTGAACTAACCCTAATCCTTTGCCTCTTTTAACCTCAATTTCTAAATAAGAAAGAAAATATAAGTTTCCTAATAAATATAAAAAAATCATTTCAATTCATTGATGAATAAGTTATTATGAATAAAAAATTAAATATAGGAAGAAAAATTTGGTTATCTAATTTACTAAACCATGCAAATTTATATATGCTTACTAGTACCATATTATCGTAAAATTGATTAGGTGTTATGATACTATTCTAAATTCCTAAAATGGGACCCATCGGCATATGATGGTGGGTTTAGGGGAGGAGATGGGTGCACACCCCGTGATTGGTGGGGGTTTTCATTGTGGATCCACCCCCTTTATCCTCCCATGCAGTCTGCAACCAGTTCCGCCGACAAAAACTCAATTAACACAGCGTAAAAACCAAAATGATGAGACCACCGACAGTTTTTTGAGTAATTTAAGCAGCAAAGTTAATTATGGTTTTGGGTTTAAAGAGAGTTTTTTTGGGTTTACCGAATCTCCAGCGAGCTTGAACGAGAGCAATGTCAGGGTTGTTCACCAAGAACGGTATGCTCCGTCGGAGGAAATCTGGTTCGGGCCGGAAATCGGCGTCTAAAATGGCGACGTATTCGCAGTGTTTAACGTAGCTCCGTTTCAACCCTTCTTTCAAAGCCCCCGCTTTGTAACCAGTTCGGTTTTCCCTTATTTGGTACGTTATGTTGATCCCTTTGCTTGCCCATCGCTGGCACTCTTGCTCTACCATCAACTGGAAGAAAAAAATGGGTAATTAATTTCAGTATTAAATGACTTTTCTGACGGTTAAAAAGGTTAGAAATTTTGTATCGGGAAGAGTTAAAAGTGATTGGTTTTGACTTTCTCTCATCTTTTACCTTGATTGCAGGGTCAGTTGAATCATCAAGTACTTGGATCACGAGACGATCGGACGGCCATGAAAGTCCACAAGCAGCTCCAATGGAGATCTTGTAAACCTGTTCCAAGAAAACATAATGAATCATTTTGAGTTTCTCTGAAACCCAGAAAGAAAATACCAAAACAGAGGAGAAAAAACACCGAGTTTACTGACTCACCTCTTTTTCATTGAACATAGGGATTTGGACTAAAACGACCGGGAAATTTGAGCTGCCGAGTTCGACATCGTCTTGAATGAGCTCAAACTTGTAACGCTTCTCCGGTTTTTTCCAGAAAAGCTTAACCAGGATAATGACTATTCCCATGTAAACCCTCTCACAGAAGAGCATAAGCGACATGACTAAGCAAATGTACACACCGAGTTGCAGTAAAGGAACTATCAATGGCGCTTTGATTAGCTCCCAAATCAAACCGAGTTGGCCCGTGATATCGTCTCGCGACACTTGAAACGACTCCGGAATCAGCAGATTCGGTGAAACTTGAGCCATCGCTGCAAAGCTGGTTTTTCCTTAAAAAATACAGTCTAAAATGGCGTTTTCTGTTTAAAACATGGGATTTTATGGAAAACTAATGAAGAAGATGATTCAAATCTGCCACTGCTCTACTCTTAAATCTCTCACAAAACATGTGCCGGCCAATGCAGCTTACGTTTTCTTAGTATCAGAAACGAAACAAAAATGGTGGCACTGCGAGAGAGAGAGAGAGATAGAGAGAGGGAAAACAGGGCAAATGTAAAGGAAGATACTGAGTGAGAGAGAAAGAGGGTTCAGTTTTATAGTGAGATTTGGAAATTTAATTTACATTTTGGAATTATATTTGTTTTTGGTGACCATAGTAGTTCACAACATTAACAGTTCCAACTAGAGGAGTGAATGGCCACGTTTATTACTTCAGACAACCTAACAACTCTTTAACAAAATACTCAAAAATAACCCAAACTTACATTCACAAAAACCAAAAGAAATGGTAAAAATAAGGGGAATTTTGATGTGCGACAGTTAAATTTAAAGTTAATTTAAGCAGATTTTTAATCTAAAATGTTATCTTATTCGATTAAAAATATTATAAAAAAGGTAATATTTTTTGTCACAACTCAAAAATTATACTTCGTAAAATTTAGAGTTTACAATTAAAAATATTATGAATAATGTAATATTTTCGATTTCAACCTAAAATGTTATTTTATCTAACTTAAAAGGTACTTTCTTAATCAGATTTTAGATTGCAACTGTACCTTTCGTGTTTTAATTTTATATTAACAAGTTATATTTTTAAATTTCCATAAAGCATGCATAGGTTATTGTATTATAGCGTAGAATGCATGTATTTTGATTTTTGTATTTTTTTAATAATATATTATGATTAGAATATAATATATGTTTAGATTTTTTTAGTTTATTGATAATGTATACGGATTTCAAAAATAACTATTTTAATTTGAGTATTCCAAGAAAAATAACATCTATTTTTTCTATGAAATGCGTATAATGATGTAAATTAATAAAATTTTAAACATTTATAACTTTATAATTATTTAAACTATTAAAAAAGAAAATTTTAAGAGGACATTTTTGTGATATTGAGTTACTGAAAACAGTCCTAGTAGAATATGAAGAGTTCAGCTTTTAAAGATGGTTTGAGGCATTATGTAAACCGACTGCTGGTAAAAGACAACAAAACCATCCAACCAACACTTTTATAAGGAAATTCTCATTAACTGCCTTTACCTAAAAGGGTAGTTTTTTACACTTTTTTTTTACTCCTTTTCAATTTTTTACACTTTCACTTCATTTCATTGGCAGTTTCTTTAACCTTTTTCTAGGCAAATCAAAACAGAGTAGTTTGCTGGTTAAATTATGTTTTTTGTATTTTTATTATGTTAAAGTTTAAGATTTGTTCTTTGTACTTTAATTTAACATAATTTGATCCTCTTTTCTTTTATAATGTTATGAATAAGTTCATGAATCGTCGCAACCTACCGGCAAATAAGCTACGGGGCAATGATAACGATAGGTCAATCACACTTCGGCAAATGCTCTATAAGGTAATGGTATTGTTAGTTATTGTTTTTAAAGTAATGGTAAGAGTTACTTTAAACAAAGTTAAACATTTTATTGACATACCATTTTATTGTGTGGGTTGACTATGATTGAATAATTATTTAACGATTTTAGTTGTGTAAACAAATAATACCAAAATGAATTGGCGTTATTGTTTTAATGAAGACAAATAGTGATATTGTCAATTTAAACTTATTAGTAACATTATAAAAATAAAATATTGAATTATATCATTTTAAAATGAATGGATTAGATTTTTGTAATAGTAAGATGACTAATAACATAATTAGACATAATCGAATTATCAGTTGAAATTATTGAGTCACCATCTCCAAAATCGTTGTTCAGTTCGCACCCCTTTTGGAGGTTATGATTAAAAATAGCTTCTTCTCATTTTTTATTTTCTTTCCTTTTTAGTGCTTAATACTTTGAACTCAAATGTAGCTATGCAGATATAACTATTCATGTTGGATTAAAATTCATAATTATGGGCACATGTGTCTAATGTACAATTATATCATAAAGCATGACACACAATTAAGTGATCGATTATGTTACATGTGTCATAGATATTAAAGTGTAGACACCATAAGTTGTATTTATAATTTGATGAGGGGTATAATTACAAATACTTATCAAATTGACCTAATATTTATTCTATATAAAAAGGTAGTGGTCCCCAAGGAATATGTTAAAACTTGTTAGAACGAAATCATAATAAACATAAAATTAACTAAGATCTAATTATGTCAAATCAATAAAAATAATAAATTAAATGCATAAGCGTATCTGAATTAATTGATAAGTTGAAATCTTTGAATTTTCTTTGGTTGTGATAAAAAATTGTATTGATCTTATCTCCCGTTAGGAGTTTTAGGGTAAGAGAAAATATATCTTCTTGGAAGATCAACACCAAAGAAGATTCAAATATTTTAACTTATCAATTAATTCATGTATGTTTCCACGTTTAATTTAGTATTCTTGATGATTTGACATGATTAGACCCGGGTTAATTTTATGTTTATTATTATTTAGTTTTAACAACTTGAACATAAAAATTCTAAAAAAAACAATATTCTCTTTTATCGCTAAGTTCACTTAATGAATTATATATTTTTCTCATCTAAATTTGAATAAACGAAAATAATATATTTTAGGGGAAGACTCTTTTTATTTTAATTACTTTTTAGTTTTAAGATAATCGAATGAATATAAATAGATAATTAAGATTAAAATTTTATATATTTATATTATACATTTTTTCTTACTTTTTTCAACTATATATCTGAACCATTCATTTACATTTATCTAATGATTTAAAAAAATATAATTTTTTTAGTTTTTACATTGTGTGAATGGATACTATTCATATATGACATAAGATCCAATTACAACATAATATATAACATATAACTTTTTAGTTTTATACTGATTTAAGATTATTGAATAAGTGACACAAACCAAGTGACTTCGGTCGAGAGTGTGAGAGTTCAATGTCAAATGATTGAGAGATATCTTTGAACATATACTACCTTATACTTATCACATATTAATAAAAAAAAATGAGTGAGATTAGAAATTTAAAATGAGGAGATTTAAAAAATAAATAAATAAAATATATATACGTGCGGGGGGGGGGGTTTGATATTATACTTTTAAAAGAATTACCCTTTGCTTTGTGACATTAATGTAGAAAATTAGGGTTTTTGAAACACTATTAATGAGTGCTTATTCTTTCCAATTACTTTGTCCTCAAGAAAGCTTAAATTACTATATTTCATTCTGTAAGAGTTATTTAAGGAATTTAATATGAGTAAGTAGGAGTAGGAGTAGGAGTATATTAATAGAAATTTCAATTCTAAAAGTTGCAACTATTGATTATTATTCTAATTTATTTAATCAATTTGTCTTTTCATTAAGTTTAAATGTCAATACCATATGCAATATTTTGTAACTAAAACACGCGAAGATTGAGATATTATAAATTACTTTGTTCAAAAGGAGAAGAAAATGAGAGAAATGTTAACAGTGGATGCTTTACATAAAATGACAGGAAAAATTAGTGTTGTAAATAAGATTTTTATTCTCAAAACAACGAGGGATATGGATAGGGATGGGTATGACTCGAACTCGACTGATTCTGACCTAATATAATTTTATTGGGTCAGATTTTTTAAAAAGAAATTTGAATTTATGTTGGATTCAGGTTTATAGTAAAAATATATGATTTGACCCGATATTCATATAATATAATATATATATATATATATATATATATATATATATATATATATATATATATATATATATATATATAGTTTTAAAAATACTTCTTTCTAGAATTTTTTCTATTTTAATCTATATTTTATCAAATAAAATTAAGAATTACATAAACATATATTAGTGCCCAGTTAAGTCCAATTAAATTAAGTATGAATTTTATTTCGAAAGACGTGTAAAATTAAGTCACTTTAAACCTTACCTATACTTATCCCTAAATATGGGTGGGTTGATTTGTACTTTTATACGTAATTTCTCCGCACATAATGCCGTTCAACCAGGTGTTCAAGTTCCATCAATTTCCAAACCTAATTTGATAATTATATGCATATTGTCTTCTTTATATTGAACTAATTTGCAACTGTGTCAAATTGACTGCAAAACGGTATTCTAAGTTGACTTGTCCAAAACATTGACGGAATATGGGTACACACACAACTAATACGTGGTCAATTGCACATTGATTTAAGAGAAAATAACTTCAGTGACCAAAAATCTCAGATAATATACGATTTTGATCAATTTTTTTTGAATTTGCGAAAATGACCAACAAAATCGCAATGCGATCTCTAATTCGCATTGCGATCTCCACTATCGCAAATTCGCGTTGCATTTCGCGTTGCGATAATTGAAAATCGCGTTGCGATAGTTGAAAATCGCGTTGCGATTTTCCATTTCGCGTTGCGATTTTCCAGTTCGCGTTGCGATAGTCTACAGTTGTCGTTGCGATTTTCTAAATTCGTTGGTCGTGGTCGTGAATACGTGTCTTCGACACGTCCGCGCGGATACTATCTTTTTAGAGAAAATTCTTAAGAAACAAAATCTTTTTTTTAACTATCGCAACAACAACTGTAGACTATCGCAACGAATTTGGAAAATCGCAACGACATTGTAGACTATCGCAACGCGAAATGAAAAATCGCAACGCGATTTTCAACTATCGCAACTCGAAATGAAATCGCAACGCGATTTTCAACTATCGCAACGCGAAATGAAAAATCGCAACGCAATTTTCAACTATCGCAACTCGAAATAGAAAATCGCAACGCGATTTTCAACTATCGCAACGCGAAATGCAACGCGAATTTGCGATAGTGGAGATCGCATTACGATTTTGTTGGTCATTTTCGCAAATCCAATAAAAGTTGGTCAAAATCATATATTATCTGGGATTTTTGGTCACTGAAGTTATTTTCTCTTTATTTAATTGTTGATAGGGTTTGCATGCAGTCGATTAAATTGATTTGGCTTTATATATTAATAATTAAACAAATTGATTAAAATATTAAAAACCAATAAATTTTAGCTTGCTTTAGATAATGATATACTTTTCAAAATTAAAATTAATATAAACATTATGATTCGAAATGACAATTAGTATTCCTCATTTTTTTCCTTAATGTTCCA